ACTACATTCTTAATTTAGTTTTGATTGACTTGATATTTATTAAGAATGAATATTTTCTTTGATTGAACAAGTTTATTTCAAGTAGCGTAGGCAATCCCATCGGCAGATCCATTGACCATAAACAGCAATTGACATACCATAATTGAAATTCACATCCGCCAGATCTCAATCGATGCTACTAAATTCTTTTCGCAATAATTTCACTTAGTATTCAAGTTGTGTACTACGCTGATATCTCACGAGGGACTGTAAATTCCTACACATTGAATGCTCTATTCAATTCGCAACAATGGCAAACGCTTTGTAGAACAAATTAAATGTTGTTCATCTGCTGATATTGTGCCCGAACCGCAAGTTCCAGTACCAAAAGTGCACACTCCGTACTTTCACATGTTCGTGCCTACACGCACGTTGCGTTATCATCGCAACAAATGGAAATAATTTATAATAATTTTAGATTCCCACATGGCCTGCGAGTAAGTTGTGCTGCATTCTACATACATTTTTAGATTTTACTTGTTAATAATTTCCTTTTGTGGTGAACTGGCATGAGTTTTTTCTAGTAATTGCGGTCGATGGATGCTAGTAACTGCGGTTCATTCCCAACATAATTCCACAATATTTAAGGCTCCCTAAAGAAGTAACACATGATTACGTTTTTAGTTTAAATATGTCTTTGTTTTGTTTTTCAAAAAAAAAAAAAGAAAAACAATTAATTTATTTAATATTCAATATCAATTTTATGTAATAATAAACTTCACAAAAAAGAAATTATGGATAATTATATTCACCATCTCTTTTCACAACGATAGGATAATTTTTAACAGAAGACAATCAGAAATCGCTAGACTCAATGGAGACCGCTTACCAGTATTATACAGTAACAAGTACAATAGAGGTATTCACTCTGTCCTGCAAACTCATTGCAAAATCATTGCAAAGTGCATGAAGTGCAAGAATGATCTACTGAAATTTAAGAGTGCGAGAACACGTCTGTTGCAGAATTGTAACATCAAAATGAAGCAGCTGTTTTAGCAGCACACCATATCCGGATAAGAAACAAACAGAGAAGATCTCAAAACAGCTGATTCAAAACAGTATTCAAATCCCTAGAATATTTGAAGAGCGCCTATTGTTAAAAAAATTTGAAGCTAATCCATTGGGATGCCTTTTATGTCCAATAAGATAAAGGTTTCCAATAATAAACACGTGATAAGTCACATGCCTCTCAACTCAAGTACCTAGCACATATTTTTCGTTTGTAGGACACCATGCTTTGCTTTTATACAGGATTCCCATTGGCTGTCCAGATGTAAAGTTAATAATGGAGAGTTTTTTCTTTCAGTGTACAACTTACAAATAGTTGTTTCAAGTGCTAGCCTGTCTAGCAAAATGATGCATTTTACTTACGTCGTAAAAGGAAAGACATGCTTACTCTTCTAGCCTACAAACGGAAACTGCTTTACAATCTACATTGCAATTTTTACGTTCCTCAAATTAGCCATATCTGTATAGAGTGAAAAAAATAGAGTAATAAGACAAAAAGTAGAAGTTTAGCACTAATGTTACACCGAAAAATAACAACTACTAAAATAAGTAAAATTTTTTTTAATATTTAAACAACACAGATTATGGTACAAAAGAACATTCCCATCCTTTCCACAAATCTTTCTCTACACTGAAGAATAACTTCCTTCACAAAGCGTTCTTAAGCTTAATATCCACTATTTAATTGTCTGCTAGTCCATAAAGGTGAATGCTTTAGATTAAATTTGGAACATGGAGGAAATTCATTGGTTACATGAACGTAAAGTATAAGCTATATATAAATTTTCATAATGGAATCAATTGCTTTTCTTCTCCATATATCGAAAGCTGTTTTACACGATGCTTTTACGACTTATTTACAAAAACAAACATAACACAAATAAAATTTTAAAGAATTTTCATTTATTGTGTTTTACTTGGCGATTATATAATTTCTATTTCTTGTTCTTACAACAAAAACTAGGTTACAAGTTTTGGGACTGTACTTTTAGCCTACTGTGGTATCAATGTCGTCCTCCACTGTAGTTGCTTCAGTGTCTGTAGTGACAGTAGTTGCTTCAGTACTGCCTGAATCGGTTGATGCATCGGTGGTAGCATCAGTGGTTGCATCTGTCGTTGTAGTGGCTGTCACTGTTGAAGATACTGTTGAAGATACTGTAGAAGATACTGTAGAAGAACTACATGGCGGTCTTGTTCCACGGCTCGGTCTTGGTCTGCCTAGTCCTGGTCCTGGTCCTGGACCTGGTCCGCCTGGTCGTGGTCGTCCCGGTCTTCCAGGACGTCCTGGTCCAAATGGATTGCGTCCTGGTGGCCCACGACCAGGTGGTCCACGACCTGGTGGACCACGTTGAGCATGTGCTAAGACTGCTAATATAAGTGCAAAAAGCAGCGTTAGTGTTACAGCTCTCATTTCAAGGTGATGATTGCAAAACAATTGAAAAGTACAGGTTTTTATAGTTGACTCGATTCATTAAACTTATTTACATAGGTGTTACAGGTCAGAATAAAAACAATACAGCTCTTACGTATTTTGTAATACAATTTGTTTAGCTACATATAATTGTAAACTATAATAAATAAGTTGTTTAAATATCTTTTCATATATGTATCTTATTATAGATATATTCTATTAACGGTTTCTTTTATGAAAATAAAATAGAACGAAAGCAATATCTAAAAACGTCATTTACCAAAGTATACTGATAATGTTATACTGCATATGAATTGCCTCATGAAATGGAATTTTTATCAATTCCAACGTAACTCCCATGCAAGCACTAATTGGTACAGTTGGCTATTGTAAACATTTTATCTTTAGAATTCCATGAAATTGATTTGGAGTTTCAGTTGTAATATATACAGGGATATAGGGTTTTTAAAAGAACTCCACTTAAAATCAACATGCAGACATGAAACCTCCAATATGTCAGTAAAAGTTATTTAAATAGATTATTCCATTTAACATTTAGGATCTTTTACTTTGATACCTAATACATCATTCTACTTCAATGGGTTACAAAACTACGATCTCTACTTTTTTGGAAACTCAAATATTTTCCTGGATATGGGAATTGATTTTAACAGTATCTTAGGTTTCTTTCGTGGTAGAGTTTACTTAAAAAAACATTTCTTCTCGGTCTCTACTAAAAACACACCTTACTCCAACTAAATTCTTTTTTTATTCTTTTAATGTCGAAGAATTATTTCCTGTATTTATAACACTTTGTTCCAAAACATTCTATTATAAGATAATAATATTATCAAAGAAAAACTCCAAAAGTAAGCAGAATAAGTAACAAAAACGAACATTATAACGATTTCACATGAATAGTATCTTAAACTTTATGGAACCATCACCAACTAAAATGAGTTTGTATATTACAATTTACATTAAAATCACATCCTAAAAATATTCCAAAATAGCTTCCTTTTAATAGAAGATTGCTTTTTAACCATATAAGAATTATAATTCGCGAGAGTTACTTCAATATCAAATGAACTTTTTGAGAGCTATAATACTTAATATACAAGAAGTTTTTTGAAATTATTATTTTTGGAATCACAAAATGGATAACCCTAACTAATCTGGCGATCCTTCCTCAGAATCGATATTTTGTTTTAAATATTTATTTTATTTTATTTATGGTACTGAGTTATGTATATATACATCTATATGATCTCTAAATACATATTTATATCCATATAAATACTAAAATCGATATGGATAAATAAATAAAACCAGCATTCAAAAATGGAAGCGTTGCACCAGAAACAGAGTAATAATTCGGAAATATAGTTTCGCAAAAAAAAAACGAAAATCTCAAAACACTTCCTGTATATAAGGTATTATAGCTCTCAAAAAGTTCATTTGATATTGAAGTAACTCTCGCGAATTATAATTCTTATATGGTTAAAAAGCAATCTTCTATTAAAAGGAAGCTATTTTGGAATATTTTTAGGATGTGATTTTAATGTAAATTGTAATATACAAACTCATTTTGGTTGGTGATGGTTCCGTAAAGTTTAAGATACTGTTCTTGTGAAATTGTTCTAATATTCGTTTTTGTTACTTATTCTGCTTACTTTTGGAGTTTTTCTTTGATAATATTATTATCTTATAATAGAATGTTTTGGAACAAAGTGTTATAAATACAGGAAATAATTCTTCGACATTAAAAGAATAAAAAAAGAATTTAGTTGGAGTAAGGTGTGTTTTTAGTAGAGACCGAGAAGAAATGTTTTTTTAAGTAAACTCTACCACGAAAGAAACCTAAGATACTGTTAAAATCAATTCCCATATCCAGGAAAATATTTGAGTTTCCAAAAAAGTAGAGATCGTAGTTTTGTAACCCATTGAAGTAGAATGATGTATTAGGTATCAAAGTAAAAGATCCTAAATGTTAAATGGAATAATCTATTTAAATAACTTTTACTGACATATTGGAGGTTTCATGTCTGCATGTTGATTTTAAGTGGAGTTCTTTTAAAAACCCTATATCCCTGTATATATTACAACTGAAACTCCAAATCAATTTCATGGAATTCTAAAGATAAAATGTTTACAATAGCCAACTGTACCAATTAGTGCTTGCATGGGAGTTACGTTGGAATTGATAAAAATTCCATTTCATGAGGCAATTCATATGCAGTATAACATTATCAGTATACTTTGGTAAATGACGTTTTTAGATATTGCTTTCGTTCTATTTTATTTTCATAAAAGAAACCGTTAATAGAATATATCTATAATAAGATACATATATGAAAAGATATTTAAACAACTTATTTATTATAGTTTACAATTATATGTAGCTAAACAAATTGTATTACAAAATACGTAAGAGCTGTATTGTTTTTATTCTGACCTGTAACACCTATGTAAATAAGTTTAATGAATCGAGTCAACTATAAAAACCTGTACTTTTCAATTGTTTTGCAATCATCACCTTGAAATGAGAGCTGTAACACTAACGCTGCTTTTTGCACTTATATTAGCAGTCTTAGCACATGCTCAACGTGGTCCACCAGGTCGTGGACCACCTGGTCGTGGGCCACCAGGACGCAATCCATTTGGACCAGGACGTCCTGGAAGACCGGGACGACCACGACCAGGCGGACCAGGTCCAGGTCCAGGACCAGGACCAGGACCAGGCAGACCAAGACCGAGCCGTGGAACAAGACCGCCATGTAGTTCTTCTACAGTATCTTCTACAGTATCTTCAACAGTATCTTCAACAGTGACAGCCACTACAACGACAGATGCAACCACTGATGCTACCACCGATGCATCAACCGATTCAGGCAGTACTGAAGCAACTACTGTCACTACAGACACTGAAGCAACTACAGTGGAGGACGACATTGATACCACAGTAGGCTAAAAGTACAGTCCCAAAACTTGTAGCCTGGTTTTTGTTGTAAGAACAAGAAATAGAAATTATATAATCGCCAAGTAAAACACAATAAATGGAATTTCTTAATAATCCGTATTTACAATTTTATTTGTGTTGTGTTTGTTTTTGTAAATAAGTTGTAAAAGCATCGTGTAAAATAACTTTCGATGTACGGAGAAGAAAAGTTTATAATTTTTCTGCATTCCAAATTTAATCTAAACCATCCACATTCATAGATTAGTGGACATTTAAATATTAGATATTAACAATAAAGAACACATCAGCTGCTCAGAGGATAGAGTAATAGAATAATATAATTTTTTGTGGATTAGATTAAACTTGGATACAATTTAAGTTAGGTTAGGTGTACGCCTGCTATCCTAAGGATTTACTAAGGCCTATTACCTCAATGTCACCACCTAAGAAACTCAGAAGTTTAAGAGCCACCTAGAGCCTTTACCAAATTCACAAATGCACTTCAGATGGTTGTCCTGTAGCTGCACAAGATCCTGAATAAAAGAAACCCTTAAAATAGTTAATCGTCGCCGCATATATGATGTACTGCAACAATACATATGTAAGGTACTTTCATCGTTCTCTGTACAACTGCATTAGGAATGATTAGATAGGGGATTCAATTTTTCTACATTGTTCCCTGATCTTTTTCGGACATCTAAATGAGAGTGCTAAATTTATTCTTAATAGAACTTGTATTCACGTGCCTGCATATTATTAAGTCTTTCAATATTTTATTATTTATTATTATAAATTATAATAATTATAATAAATTATTATTATAAGTTATTATTATATTATTTATTGTTAAGCATAAATACAATTGAACAAATGTATCCATGATGTCAACGATATGTCCAGGTTTTTCACGTATGTGAACTTAAGGACTTTAAAGCAATTTGATTATCTTATATCATGTATATATTCTTATTAAATATATTAGCTACTTCCAGACAAGGTGTGCCTTCCCTAAGAGCCATCACTTGAGACCATTAATATATCTAATGTTTTTGAATTTAATTATATTGCTTTTTTGTCCTTCATTGAGTGCCAAAGGACTGAAACTGAAGCAATTCCTGCAATTATGAATGTAAAATGTTAAATCGTCTAAAAAACTCCATTTACGCCCTATGACCATATGCAAGTAAACTTACTTCCTATACTTTTGAATAGTACATGAAGAGCACATACATGTAAGGGAATAATATTAATTACCATATAAATGCATAAAAGCATACATGCTGGTTTTACTTGACATAGATCCCAAGTAACCAGAATTTAAAATGAAGTTTATGTAAAATCAGAAATAAAGAAGAGAGTGTTCCTTTTTTCTGAGCATAGAATTACAATAAATAAATTCAAAATAAAACAGTTCTCTGATGAACTCCATAAGAAGGAATGTCTATGCACTTATCAGCACAAACAAGTACATGCCCGTAGAAGAGAATATATGTATGTTTTCTTAACAAACTGAAAAGCACTCATGTCATAGTATGTCTTTTTCACTGTTTGAAGCAAAGTAATGTCACTCCTGATGGCAGACAATGATGACATCGTGTCCTTTCAATAGTTGCGCTTGAAACAATATGCACACAAACGAGTTGCACAAAGGAAAATGAATGCTTGGCAGCACATAAAGTCGCATTCATGTCACAAAAGTTTTGAATCCAAGACGCAACATCACCATCACCAACACCAACTCAGCCAGCGTTGCATACATGGATAGAATTATTTGGATATGGAAGACCTCGAACTACTTTTCAAACAGATTTGTGTGCGGAAAAATTATTTCCATGTTGTTGTTGACACGGGTTTGTATGTGACTCCTGCTTTAGTTGTAGCTGATGTTAGGGGGGAGTGAGTAAATGGGTTTCGGAATGAACAAATGTGGTAATGACGCTTTGTGTATCTTGAACAGATGACACAAAACTACTTCAATTCCTTCCAGTCTATTTTGTACTTAAGTTAACAATTTACAAAAGCAGCATTTATATATTGTGTGTGAAAGTTTTGGAGAACTCATTTATGTTGGCTATAATTTGCATCCTTTTGATACGTTCTGTGTTTGAGTAATATTATCTCTAAAGGGGATTTACTTTGTGGATATATGAAGATATACAATAAAGATTAAATTTTAATTAAACGCATAATGCACTTGAAAGCTGACAATTCAATATACAAATTTCAATATATAAAAAATACATTACAGCATTTTGTTGGATTTGGAATTAGAAAGACTACGAGTGAGTCACATAACTTTATATTAATATAGCTATAGGGATGATAAGTAATTATAGTACATAAGTTTAAGTTATTGTGCATAAACTACCTATAGGTATGATATGTAAATATGGATATTAAGGGGTAGTTATAATCACATTAATTATACACATAACTTTTTGTTGCTATAATGCAATTATTTCACGATTTACTTATAGCTCCAGCTCAAAAAGTACCCGGATTTTTTAAATAAAACACACAAATTTAAATTTTATTCCAAATTTATTTTATCTTCTTCAAAATATGCTCCTTCTGAAGCGATACACATATGCCAACGCTTAACCCAATCTTCCACACACTTTTCGTAGGCCCGTACAGGTATGGCCTTTAGTTCCTTTGGCGAATTCTCTTTTACCGATTCAATCGACTCAAAACGTTTACGACGACGGGGCACTTTGAGTTTCGGGAACAGGAAAAAGTCGCATGGCGCCAGATGTGGCGAATATGGTGCCTGAGCGATGACAGTGGTGCCGTGTTTGGTCAAAAAATCGCGTACAACAAGAATAAAAATTGTGAAATGCACTTGAGGTAGTCTCACATTAACTGCTGCTGTAATCAAACTAGTTGGCAGATGGCGCTCAAATTTGTACCATATGTCAAGAAAGGGTGTACCAATATAACAAAAAATCCGGATACTTTTTGAGCAGAAGGTTTGATGCAAAGGTAAGATAATAAAAAGATTTTTTAGTACTATTTGTATTTGAACAATTCGAATTTTTGGAATAGTTTGTGTACTCGAATCTCAACGAATAGTTTGAATAGTTATAATTATAACTATATACTCTAGTGGGCACACTACAGTAATTCCCTTGATTGAAACAATTTTACCAATTTTTGATATTAAAATGTTTAATTTGAGGTAATTAAAAAAATGATTAAGTCATTCTACACACAAGTTTGTTCTCTGCATTTACCGTGTATACACATATACTCAAGTAAATGAAGTTTCAATCTGTGAAATTCATCCAGATAAATACTCCCAAAGCAATCCAATGTTACAGGAAAAAAAATAAAAAACGCCAAATATATGTATAACAATAAATATATATGTATAGAAAAAAATATATATTATATGTATAGAAATAAATATACATATATATAAATAAATATATAGGATATATTTTATCAAATTGTATTATAAATGGGTATTTTTATGCCTTTTTAAATAGATTGTGTGTATTTATATAAAATAATTATATATATCTAACAATCTATATTAAAGGTTCCCAACCTTTTTTGACCAACAACTACTATGATATTTTAGTTTTTAGTTGGGACCACAAAGTATTAAAATAATAAACTGAATGATTATTTTAATATGCTTTTTGCATCTCTAGTATAATGTATAATGAATTGTCTAAGTACATTATAAATACATCATATAGGCTATAAAATAAATGAGGTCTCAATGGACAAACTACAAGCTATCCATCTTTTAAGATCCTTTCATTCTACATTACTATGATTTGCATATGCCACAAACTTATTTTTCCTTTCAATAATTTATTTACTATGTTTTTGACAAATATTTGGCAAAATAGGTTTTTTTCGAAAAGTAGTGAACTACAACAACAAAAATTCTTTTTCTATTAATTTAATTAATTGAATTTTTGGCTGACCATACAGCTGTTTCGAGTATTGCCAAATACCCATTATCAGTGGTCTTGAAAATAATTCTTGTATTTAATTATGTAAGAAACCCGTTAGCCTTAAATTAAATTTTGAGAATTTAAGGATGTTTTTGTAGGAGTACAGTGATATCAGTGCTGTACTTTGTCTAAGTCCTGCGAAGTTTTCCCAGTACTTCAGCCGCATGTGATTTTCCCTGTCCTTGATTATCCGCTTTACAGGGTTGAGGTCCTATAAAAGCCGTTTTTGATGCAGTTTTGGCTACCTCATCGGTTTGTTCATTTCCCAAAACTTCCGTTTGACCCGAAACCCAGTAAAGACTAACCTTATTCCGAGTTGTAAGTAGCTGTAAGAGCTCATAATATTCAAGAACCTGTTTTGACTTGAAAGTCCAAGAGAACAGAGCTTTGAGAGCAGCCTGGCTGTCGGAGTAAATAACAATTCTCCAGCCAGATGGGTTTTTGTTAATGTTGAATCTTGTGCCCAAGTTAATTGCGTGGATTTCAACTCGAAAGACGCTCGGCCATGTGCCCATTACCTCCGAAATTTTGGTGTTGAAACCATATACACCAGCATCAGTGCTTCCATCCATTTATGTATATACATCATTATGTATACATTTTGATCATATGTTTCGAAGTGCTTTAACCGTCATAAATTTTTGTTTTGGATTAGATTCATTATGACAGACATTGTAATGGACTGATTTTCAGTTGAAATGTCTAACTTACAAATATATGCTTCATCACCGTTTACAATATTATTTACATATCTTTAAGTGCTACCATATTTTTTGTCATAATTTCATCTTAACGATACGAACCTCTTTGTGAACTTTTGTCGAATTATATGCGTTAGTATAATTATACAATATTTTATGAATTTCAATTTCAGAGTATATTATTTGACAATCTATCAGTTTTGCACGATATTAATGATTTTGGACGACTTTTATGAACTTTCTCATCAGTTTTGGTGTATCAGCATTATATAGTTGCTAAGAATGGGGCTTCATAGTGCCGAAATGGTACTTTTGTGTTGATAGTCTTCATCCTAAAATTTCA